ACAGTTTAAAATGAACAAGTAAACATGAAATCTCAATTTAAATACTTCAAGTAGAAACGGGTTTACAACAATTAGCTCAAGTACGCGCTCGTCACCTCACGTACGAGGCATTCAAATATTCAAAGATCATGTCCTAAAGGGGAAAGTCCCCCACACAAGGTTAGACAAGTCACTTACCTCGAACCGGCTCAATATTAACTAGAAACCACGCTCTTGCCACGAGTATCCGACTCCAAATGGCTCAAATCTATTCAATTCAATTACACATCGTAAATAACATCGCAAACACCTGGTTTTGCTAATAAATTCAAAGCTACGGCGTAAAATTAGGTGAAATGACCAAAATGCCCTTCAGGCCAACGCCTCGGAATCGAATAATTTTCACATTTTTAGAACCCTCGTACTTTCACGAGTCTAACCATATAAAAATCTCCCAAATCGGAGGTCAAATGCCCACTCAAAACTCAATAGTTTAGGCAATGAAGTTTTACCCCAAATTATCCAAATTTTTTTTATCCTAAATTCGAATTCCAATGATGTATTTAACTATATAATGATGAAATATAACAAAAAGGGACCAAAGAAACGTTAGTGATCTTCTCTTCGAAACCCACTCAAAATCGCCTAAAACCGAGCTCTCAATTGATTTTTCCAACTTATGAAATTAAAACCCTCGAATTTCTATATCTGTACAGTGAATGCCGCTTCTGCGGTCTAGGGACCGCTTCTGCGGTCCCGCCTATGCGAAACACTGGCCGCTTCTGCGGCTTCTTTTAAAAGGTCAGACCTCCGCTTCTGCGGATAAATAACCTCTTCTGCGGTTCCTGAGGGGGGAACCAAACTCGCTTCTGCGATGAGCGAGCCGCTTCTGCGGCTCCGCTTCTGCGGTTCCCAAGTCGCAGAAGCGAAAATACCAGAAGGAACAAAATACCAGCTGCTGCAAACTTAGAAATTTTCCTCCGTTAACCACCCAGAATCATCCCGAGGCCCCCAGGACCTCAACCAAAAGCACCAATACCACCTAATACCTTATTCAAACTTGTACCAATCTTGAAAACACCTAAAACAACGCCGGAAACCCGAATTAATCAAAGATTCAAGCCTAAGAACTTCAAATTCCTTCCAAATACGAATTCGATCAAAAACCTAACCAAAACACATCCAAATGACCTGAAATTTTGCACACACATCCCAAATGACATGACGGAACTACTGCAACTTTCGGAATTCCAATCCGACCCTCGGATCAAAAACTCACTATCGGACCGGAAACTTCAAAAATTCAAACTTCGGCATTTCAAATCTAAATGAGCTACGGACTTCCAAAATACATTCCGAACACGCTCCCAACCCCGAAATCACCTAACGGAGCTAGCGGAACCATCGGATTTCCATTCCGAGGTCATCTTCACACTGTTCGACTTCGGACCATTTTTCAACACTTAAGCTCTCATTTAGGGACTAAGTGTCCCAAAACACTCTGAATCCTAACACCGAACATCCCGGCAAACCAAAATAGCAGAAATGAACTTAGGGGAAGCAGTTAAGGGGGGATCGGGGCGTAAATTTCAAAAATGATCGGCCGGATCGTTACAGGAAAGGACCCATAAAATCAATGCCCCAAACATCAAATATTTCACAAACAAGGATAGAGTTAAGAGGCATCTCATCCCTTTTTGAAATGTTACCGCTTCTCTGGCATTTGTCGCAAGTGGCAACATAATTTCTTGAATCTTTGAATAAAGTAGGCTAATAAAATCCAACTTCAAGTATTTTAGCTGCTGTCTTTCTTCCGCCGTAGTGTCCTCCTATAGCTCCATCATGGCAATGACTTAAAATATTGTTCATTTCTGTTTCAGGTACACATCTCCTGATTATGTCATCTGCACAAAATTTAAACAAATAAGGATCTTCCCAGTAATAATGTCTTGCCTCTTTTTTAAGATTTTTTCTTTGATCGTAAGAAAAATCTTTTGGAATCCACCCTCCAGCTAAATAATTGGCAATATCAGCAAACCAAGGAGGTCTATTTACAACTGTTGCGACGGAAAAGATATGCTCATCAGGAAATTCCTCTTGGATATCTAGTATTTCAGTAGGAGGATTCTCTAGACGTGACAAATGATCATCTACCTGATTTTCTGAACCTTTTCTATCTTTTATTTCGAGATCAAATTCTTGCAAAAGGAGTATCCATCTTAGCAATCTAGGTCTAGCATCTTTCTTTGTTAATAGATACTTTAAGGCTGCATGATCAGTGAATACTGTAACCTTTGTTCCTATCAAATAAGAACGAAATTTGTCAAACGCAAATACTACTGCCAATAACTCCTTCTCGGTTGTTGCATAATTCATTTGAGCTTCATTGAGGGTTCTGCTGGCATAGTATATGGGTCTAAAGATCTTATATTTCTTTTGCCCCAATATCGCTCCTACTGCTATATCACTTGCATCACACATTATTTCAAATGGCTGGCTCCAATTAGGAGAAACAACAATTGGAGCATTAGTCAATTGTTTTTTGAGAAACTCAAATGCTTTTCTGCTATCATCTGAAAATTCAAATTTCACATCTTTCATCAGTAGGTTAGTAAGAGGTTTTGAAATTTTTGAAAAGTCTTTTATAAACCTTCTGTAAAAACCTGCATGCCCTAAGAAACTTCTAATACCTCTAATGTATGTGGGAGGGGGTAATCCTGCTATAAGATCAATTTTAGCCTTATCAACTTCTATTACTTTAGCAGTGATTTTATGTCCTAAAATAATTCCCTTTGTTACCATAAAGTGACACTTTTCCCAGTTAAGAACAAGATTTGTCTCTTCGCATCTTTTAAGCACCAAAGTTAAATGATAGAGACAATCTTCAAATGTCTTACCAAAAAGTGTGAAATCATCCATGAAAATTTCAAGAAACCTTTCAGTCATATCTGAGAAAATTGCCGACATGCAACGCTTAAATGTAGCAGAAGCGTTACGTAGTCCAAATGGCATTCTTCTGTAAGCATACGTACCTTGGGGGCATGTGAATGTGGTTTTCTCCTGATCTTCGGGAGCAATTGCTATCTGATTATACCCAGAATATCCGTCAAGAAAACAATAAAAACTATGCCCTGCAATTCTTTCAAGCATTTGGTCAATAAAAGGCAAAGGAAAATGATCTTTCCTTGTGGCATCATTAAGTCGTCTGTAATCAATACAGACTCTCCATCCTGTGACTGTTCTTGTATGTATGAGTTCATTATTTTCATTTTTTATTACGGTCATACCTCCTTTCTTTGGTACCACCTGTACAAGACTTACCCAAGGGCTATCAGATATTGGATAAATGATACCTGCCGCTAGAAGTTTCACTACTTCTTTCTTGACAACTTCTTGCATTGCTAGATTAAGTCTCCTTTGGGGTTGGACTATTGGCTTGTAATTTTCTTCCATGAGGATCCTATGCATACAAATAGTTGGATTGATTCCTTTGATGTTAGCTATAGTCCACCCTAAAGCTCTTTTATGTTTCCTCAAGACTTCTATCAGTTTGTATTCCTGTTCTGGAGTCAAAGAAGATGAAATGATTACTGGGAATAATTCAGGTTCAAGAAAAACATATATTAAATGAGAAGGAAGATTTTTGAGTTCAATTTTTGATTGAACTTCGTCTTGTGAGACTTTCTCATTTTCTGATTCTTTTTCCAATGTTTCTTCTTCTTCTTTGATTGTGGCATTTTCATCACTTGTGGTACCTGACCTGACTAAACATCTTTCCAATGAATCAGTAATTAAATGATTATCTTTGTATTCCTCTACAAGGTCATCTAGTAAGTCAATTTGAAAACAAGATGCTGATGACTCATCCCCAGGATATTTCATCATTTTCTGCATGTCAAAAATTACTCTTTCCTCATCAACTCGCAAAATTAGTTGTCCTTGATGAACATCAATAATTGCTCTCCCTGTTGCGAGAAATGGTCTCCCTAAAATTAATGGTACCTTAGTATTTTCTTCCATTTCAAGCACTATGAAATCTACCAGGAATACAAATTTGTCAACTCTGACAAGGATATTTTCAATAATTCCTTTTGGTTTCTTAGTACTTTGATCAACTAATTGAAGAGACACACTAGTATCCTTCATTTCACCAAGTTCTAATTTCCTGAAAATCGAAAAAGGCATTAGATTTATTGAAGCACCTGAATCACATAACGCCTTTTCAAAGTGAGTACCTCCCACGGTACAAGGAATTGTAAAACTTCCCGGATCACCAAATTTCTGAGGAAGCTTATTTTGAAGTATAGCACTACATTTTTTTGTAAGCTTAACCACTGAAACTTCTTCAAATTTTCTTTTACTTGACAAAATTTCTTTGAGAAATTTAGCATATGAAGGCATTTGCGTCAAAGCATCTGTGAAAGGTATGTTAATGTAAAGTTGCTTCAAAATATCTAGAAACTTTGAAAACTATTTGTCAAGCTTTTCTCTTTTCATCTTTTGGGGAAAAGGGAGAGGTACAGAGTGAGGATTTGTTATCAATTCATTTTCTAGTACATTTTTCCTTTTATCCTTTTGTTCTTTTGGAAACTTAGATTCTATTTTATTCTCACCTTCATTTACCTTTTCCACTTCTTGTGGCTTTCCTTCTCTATCTGCATATGGATCATCAAGAGATTTACTTGATCGTAGAGAGATGGCTTTGAGGTGTTCTTTTGGATTTTTTTCAGTGTTGCTTGGTAGAGCACCTTGAATTTGTCCAGACATGAGGGTTGCTAATTGGCTTACCTGAATTTCCAAATTCTTGATAGCTGAATGTTGACTTTCAACCTTCTCGTCAGTAGCCTTAATGAATTTATACATCAGGTCTTCAAGGCTTTGTTGATGAGCTCTTTGAGGCTGCTGCTGATATCGTTGAAAATTTTGTTGCCCTCTATTTTGATTTTGAAAACCCGGTGGTCCCTGTGCCTGCTGCTTTTGATTAAAAAATCTTTGAGGATTTTCAGCACCATTAGGATTACTCCATTGAAATCCTGGATGTTTTTGTGCCATGGGACTACCAAATGAGTAATTATTTCTATAACCAATCATATTTACCTGTTCATCATTTTGCGTTGAAGCTTGACATTCATGATTCGGATGATTACCTTGACAAACATCACAATTCTCAAGTTGGGATGATGAGTGAGCACCTACCTAAAAAGCCTCCACTTTTTGTGTTAAAGTCGCAATTTGTTGTGTCAATGAATTCAACGCTTCAACTTGATTTACTCATGCCATTTTTTTTATGATCATTCTGTCTGAGGGCCATTGAACAACATTTTCCAAAATTTCATTAAGCAATTGCATTGCTTGTGTAGTATTTTTTCCCAGTATTAATCCTCCTGATGCTGCATCAATTACATTTCTAGCAGAGGGTTTAAGACCGTGATAGAAAATACATAAAATGTCAGGGTCTTGGATACCATGATTTGGGCATTTTCTTAACATTGCTGCTAATCTTTCCCATGCCTGGTATACAGATTCAGAATCTGTCTGCATAAAATTATTGATTTCTTGCTTCATTTTAAATATTTTTGCAGGTGAAAATTATTTATTAAGAAATTTTTGGGTCATTTGGTCACATGTTGTAATGGAACCTCTTGGTAGACTTCGCAACCATGTTTTGGCTTCACCTTTTAATGAAAAAGGAAAAAGCCACAACCTGATAGCATCTGTTGTGACTCCATTATACCTGCAAGTTTCAACTAATTCAAGAAAATCAATTAAATGGGTGTGATAATCTTCACTCGCATCACCAGTAAACTGACANTAGTTCTCTAGAAGAGGAACGGGTCATACACTTTCTGAAATTTCTGTAGAAAAGTTAAAATGATTAGACAAAAAAAATCTCAAATTAGTAGTGAAACAATTAATCTATAGTAGACTTTAGCCAATCCCCGGCAACGGCGCCAAAAATTTGACGAGTTTCTAGCGTATATAAAATTTTAACTCGTACTCTGTCAAATAATAGTATAAAAAGTGTCGAACCCACAGAGATTGGTTTATCTATTCTACAGATGTTTCTTGTTTTAGTTACTATTTGAGAAAATCAGAAAGAGTTGAGTTTTAAATAACTAACTAAAAATGCACGAATGGAGCAATAGAAAATATTTTGTTTTTCACAGATATAATAAAAAGGTGTTGGGATCCTGACTTCACTTAATATTTTTATTATATAGTAGATACATTTATCCTTCAACTTCTATTTCTCATAAATGTATAAATGCCTCTCACGATTACATTTTTATATTATCACTATAGTTGAACAATTAAATGCACCCCTCTCGGTTATACAAATTAATCGTTAAAATAGTAATATTAAAGAACCAGAAATATATACTTGAACTAAAGTATGCTCTTTTTTAGTAAGTCCTTTTACGTTACCCTACTTGTTATAACTGATTACTACAATATTCGCCTCTTTCGATTACAAATAAGTGTAGAATCAATTTTAACATATATGAGCTAGATGTCACTAAATATAGGTTAACATCTATCAATACCAAAATTAAGTATTAC